GGCCTATATAATTCCCAATTTCTAAATTCCAGCGCTGTCATTATATATATATATATACGGTAGGCCTATATAATAATTAAATATCATTACATTTTAGGTCCGTTATGCCTTTAGAAAGCATTGCTGTGGCAACAAAAACCGAATTTCATCATCAAAGTCCTCTGCTGAAGTTACCCAGGTAGGCCTATTGAACAATTGCAGCCATTACCATATCTACTCTATTATGTAATTTTAATATCAAGTTAAAATTTTGGTGTAGAACAGTCATTTCCAGTGAAATTGTTTTAATGACTCTCTCCACTAATTGAAATAATTAATAATTATAATAATAATGGAACAGTAATGAACACAAATCTAATCATTACAGGTTTTTCGTACAGTATTATTGTTACTATAATGGTATTAGATATATAAATGTTCTCTCTCTTGTATTATACTTACATATTTTGATTACTATAGTATTTCATTACTTAGAGACTGATCTGTATTTATTATTGTAATAATAATAAAGTTATAATCATGTTATGTAATTACTGTATTTATTTAATATTTTAATTACTTTAATTTTTTACAGACAGCCAATCTGTCTTTTCGATTTACATGAAGTATGTTGATTCAAACGAAGTACAGTATTCAACTTTTAAAGGCCAGAAGACAACTTTTTAAATTAGAGGACCACCTCACGATCCAATACGGATCCCCAATTTGTATTTTATATAATCTTGTTTATTATTATTGTTGTTGTTGTTATTATTAATACTAATTATTCAAAAAATAGCTCATCTGTTTTGGAGTACAAATGTAATTCATTGTAACAGTTCATTGTTACAGTATTAATTATTGTAGTTGTGTCGTTGAATTATTTTAAATAACACATTTAACATTAAATTTAAACATTTAATTATTATTATTATTATTATTATTATTAGATGTGGGTTTGCGTCAGTAAATATCATAGGAGTGATGATTTGCGAATTTTTTCGCTAGTATTTGTATAACATGTCAGGTAGGGCAAATCATCACTCCTATTATTATAGGCAGACTTGTTTCAAACTTAGTTTTTCAGGAGTTTTAGTAATTCAGTATATAATTAAATCCAGAGAATCAGTTGTAAGCAATGGCGTAACTACGGGCAGTGCAGCCAGGGTTATTAGGGGCCCATTCACAAATAGATCTAAAAATATTAATTTTAAATAATTTCCAACTTTTTTTGAAGAATGAAATGGCCAGCGGACCCCTCAATAATATTCAGTTTTTAGAGGAGTAATTATTGATTACTGTGTTGATTTCAAATACGTGGTGTATTCAAGGGTTCCCAGCCAGCTCACCCCACCCTAATTTTTTTTCTTAATTATAAAAGAAATGAGAAAAAAGGAAATATGATGTTAAAAATTGAAGTCTGAGTATGTCATTTCCGGCCATCTAGAGGTGCTATAATCATAACTTTCCTTGCCTTGTGATCTTCACCCTTCCTGGCTACTTTATTTCGAATTCCCTTACCTGCCACTGCAGTTGTTAAATTTTATGTGCCAACAATTTTCTTGATTAGTTTAAAACAGCCTCTGAGACCGAATATAATATGCCCCTCTTCAAATAGTTAAGAATCTGATCATCATTAGTAATTATTACTAGCCTAGGCCTTTAGGAATAGAGGGTAAAAGAAGCATTTCTTACGATGAATTATATTTAAGGAATTCCCTTGCCACATCAAAGGGCACTGGGGCCTTTTTTTCGCACCTAGCTACGCCGCTGGTTGTAAGATCACGTTCGCTGAATGCATTTAGTTACATTTTTCTCATGTACTACATGTAGCGGATGTCTTTTACAAACAGAAGTCTGCTTGAGACTGCTAATTTTGATTTTATTTGGTAATTTAAGTTTACTAGTTGTAGTTAAGGACCCTGTAAGACTTAAAAATCATATGTTAGTATCATTAATATTTTATAACTATTTTTATCATCTTACTTGTGAAAGGAAGTCAAATTGATACAAATTAATTATGTTTACAAATTGTATCATGGCCTCCCCCTCTTTATTCGGAGCAACTTTTATTCTATGTTATATGCTAAAAAGTTACTTATTACATTGTACAGTAAATATCTTCAAATGTGTAACTGGTTTTAAATACACTACAAATACTTACACAATTTGTTGTCTTGTGTAATTTTATGTAATTACTGTAAATTGATCAGTGGTAAATTATTATATGTTCTGGTACTTTGCTCACTGTACATATGTACATTTCATTTCCTTCATGTACTCTATTCAAGTTAAACATACTCAGAGTATAAAGAGGTTTTTATAATTGGTGTACCATACTCGCGCAAAATAAGTGCTGGCCCGATTTAAATATTTTTGGCTCTTTTTGAGGGGCGCTTATTCAAACAGAGTGGAAATCGAGGGGGCGCTGATGGAAATAAATGAAAATTGAAGGAATGCTTATGGGAAATTGGAAACTTAAAGAGGCACTTTTTTTTAATCGCAAGAAAAACGAATGGTTTTGGTGAAGTAAAATGTAATTGTCGAGAGAGCATGGCTCATAAATGTTGGAGTATTTACACGATAGCAGATTAGTGTTGGTGGTCGTGGTAAGTGTGTTGGCCATCTGCCAATTCAGATTAGCAGGATCATTGCTGGGTTTTTTGCTTAAATACGAGAGTGATGAGGTCAGTTTATTTTTGTTGACTGAAAATGGCCATACAGTATTTTAATTTTTAGATATTAAATACTGTAGTTCTAAATCCAAAAAGGGTATTAATAAAACAAGAACAGCATTCTAAAGATAGATCAAAACTGACAACCATGTTAAACTTATTGGAAACACCTGATAGACCGACAGCAGATGGATAGATGGACTGACCAATTGACAATGCTAAGATAGATGCGATTATTTGATGCAGAAAATTAAGTTGATGTACTGTACTGTATGATTGATTTTCTTCGGGAATCGAGGGGCACTTATTCAAAATTGAGGGGGTGCTATTAAAACGGGGCGCTTAAGAAAATGTTTATGTTAGGAGGGCACTTATTCAAGAGGGGCGCTTATTCGCGCGAGTATGGTACTGCATTTAGTACTTCATATTGAGAAACACTGTTTTACACCATCCCCCCCTCCACCCCGACCACACCCTATCAATTTAAGTCTGAGGGCACCGGCCATAAAATAGTGTACCTTACACCCAATCGTGGTGGGGCTGTGGTGGTCTGAACCTTTCATTTGTAAAACTCTCCCCCTGGGCACCCTTACATTCAAATTCTTGGATATAAAACTGAGTAAAAAAATAGTAAAAAACATTACATTGCAAGATAGATGGCATTATAATTTATTCAACTTGGCTTGTCAACTTTTTCTTTCTTCGTTTTCTTTTCCGGTTCTTGCTTCCCTCACGTCCTGGCAAACTATTTAAAACATTACTTTCACTTTGTTTCTTTTTCTTTTTTTTAACTGATAATGGATTTGGTCCTTTTGGTCTTTTCTTCTTAAATCGCTTTCTCTCATTTTGAGGCAAGAATCTTTGTTTCAATTTCTTTAATGTGTCTTTCTCCTCTGCTGAGGGTGCTAGTTTGCTGGTTATTTTGCTCTCTGCTGTTTTCTGCGACACCATTGATGGTTTCTCTAATACAATAGCATTGAAGTTGATATAGAGTAGTGGTGCTGCTGGAATCTTTCGCAGATGCCTAGAGAGGTCTGGATCCTAAACAAAAAACAAAAAAAACAAAAAAAAACTGATGAGTGAAAAGAGGGTGAGGTAAAACAAGTGGTGAACTGTGATATATGCAGTTGTGGCTCTGTGTCTTTCAATCCTGGGTTCAAAACCATTCGTTCCTTCTTGCACACATAATAATAATAATAACAACTTTATTTTATAACGGTCAAAAAACTCGTTCACCCAAGTGGGTGTTCTTCCACGAGGCCGTATGGACATTAAAAAAAATAATTGTGTTAGATTAAAATAATTAAGTGTTAGTACAAAGAAAAAACAAATATATATAATACATAATAATGGTTATTACATTACTATGTTTCTTTTAAAAAGTTCTAGTGTGCTTGAATTTTTTTATATTGCTGTCTAAATTATTCCACAAAATATCCGGTAACATAGACTTCTTTTTTTATATTCCGTTCTTGGCTTGGGTACGTTAAGGTTGTCATTTGACCTAGTGTTGTATTTACTTTCTCTTTGAATAAATCTATTTTTTAAATAATTAGGAGCTAAGTCATTCATTATTTTGTACATTGTGATATTTTCATTAATGTTGAGCATTTGATCAAGATTAGGCCATTTAAGTATGGCCTAATGGTATTCAATAGTGTGAAAATAAAAGTGTTTTTGCAGTACAGTAATACATTTTTGTTCTTTAATATTTTATTAGTTTCAGTCTTGTCCCTGGACAAGGCAGTTTATATGATTGTCACACTTCACTGAACACAGCAATACAGCTTCGGAATGGGTACCTGGTAGGAGCATGGAGCTAAAAGAGGAGCTCCATAACAGGAGGTACTGTACTTCTTTGGAATACATGGTTAGGAATGCTAGGGATTTGAGATACTGCACAAAATTACAGTACATCGATTCTGTTTTCATAAGGAAAAATCAGCCATATTCTAGAGAATGTTAGAATAACTTTACACAAAGAAAAAAATATAATTGGGTCAACAGAGAGGAAAAGGAAAATGACAAGAATTAAACAACAATTAAATTGATTACCAATTCAACACAAAGATGAATATATACAATGGATGAAAATGAAAAGCTTGGAGAGTGTCTAGAGCAAGACATGTGTAAGGCCCAACACCACTGGTGGTCTACTCTGATCTCCAAATCAAATGACAAAATGTAAAACTATATACATGTTATGAGAAACATTGAAAAAATAAGATTCAAGATTTTGTATACTACAAATGCCAATATGGGAATGTATACACACTGCTGTACTTAAATATTATTCAAGAAAACAGAAAAAAAAAAATTTAACATCAAAAACGTTTTTACCTGTGTTGCAATGAAGTAATGATGACTGTTGCTTTCACTGAGCATACTCAGTAGGCACTCGGAAGCCCCGACAGGCTTCCCGTGATGAGGGCATTTACGAACTTTAAACCGTGTTAGAATGGACATGGCACCATACAAGTCACTTCCTAGGTTTTCCATTTCAGCTATAGCACATTTTGTGGTGAGAAGCTTTGTTGAAAAAGAAACCACAAAATAAAATTTTATCTCACAAAAATACAAAAAATGTTAAATTGTATAAGTCTTGTTTACACGGCAGATCACCGTGATGATCGCTTTTATCCATAGATATAGGTGTTAAGTGGCCATGTAAACGGTGTCAGTAACTCTGCATAACGGATCAGTAACCGCGATGATCTAAAGAGTTACCTCCCCATCGCAACGGTGTTAACAGAGATCAAATTCGCTGTTGTCATCCCTGTTGATAAACAGCGTGAATACTATTATATACATTTTTTACAGTTTTTTGACAAAGGGTTTCAAAACAAACAGCAATTTGCCTGTTTTTTTTCAGGTCAGTTCTAATCACGTGATTTCCTGTACAACCGATGATATTTTTAATCATGTAGACGCTCAACTGGAGATCATCGGTGTTACTTATCTGATAGCAAACGGCTGTGTATTGTATGTAACGGCCCTATTAACATTTTTCTGCCATACCTGAACCTCTTCTCCGATGTACTTTGGGATCTGTTCCTTGAGGTTAATCTTGTACTGGAGGGCCATATTGGTAAAGGTACCATCAATGAGAATCTGGTACGGGGGTCTGAACTGGTAGTTATTCTTGTAGAATGACAAGAACCGCCTTGCATGCTTGTACCTTCTAACCTTCATCTTGATCTCATGCTTTTCGTTTCTATCTGAAAAAGTTTTCGGGAAAGCGTTTGAGGCCTTTACAATGAACTTGATAGCCAGACTGTATAGTAAAGTAAGTAAGATAAGTAAGTAATATATCCTCGAAATGCCTTAGAAATCTGTCCACACATTTCAGAAAATAAGGGCGCTGATTTCCGCAGATTTTGCTGAAAATTAGGTTTTGACCAAATCTCAATATGTATAAACACAATGTATTGTGCAGTAATTAAGATTCTGTGCACCTATGTTCCTAGCGATTTTCCGCGCAAATTTGAGCTTGTTTTTGAGGTATCATCCATGCAATTAAAATATTTTACAGTAGTGCAAGATAGCATTAGGCCTGGTATGTAGGCCTATATGTAGCTATTAAAAAAAACGCTGTGGCTAGTCATTTTTATAGGCCCATTTGATGTACTTCGATTGGGGCTTATCACAATGTTTGGGTTAAAAGTCCTTTCTGTTATTCTTGCATATTTTATGGTCTACCATAGAGAATGGTCTACTTAGGCCTAGGGCATATGTAGGCTGAATACCCGCCTAGGGGCCTCGCTTATAGGTATACAGTACTACTTTTAGGCTAGGCTTAGGGAAGTGCTACTTGTAGTTATTATTGCTGATTGAAATAGCCAACCAAGCAACATGGCGATTGTAATTATCAGTGAGAGTAAACTTTATTTGTAGTGTATAGCCTAGGCCTACTGTGCGCATACTACAGGGAATTAGTATGCACAGTAAAGTAGCAGGGGTACAGTAGCTAAGGCTAGGCCTGGCTTCTACTATTAAAATAGTTTACTCAGGCGCTTGATGTCGCCAAGTCTAGCAAAACTGCTGTTCTTTTTATTTGCTATAGGCCCTAATAATAATAATAATAGGGCCTCGGGCTACGGAATATTAATCACAGCTTGTCAACAACACCCGCGAACGAACAAAATTTCTTATCTTCGATCGTTGCTAAAACCATAAAACACACACTCACTACTCTTGGTCTTGCAGCAGCAGTGCACTGAATGACGTCACACATGTATCGGCGTTTCTATTGGCTAATCATGACGTAATATCATTTACCGTACCTTTAGCAATCGGAAGTTCCGATACGGTACCGTATCTCTACTAGGCGTAAAAAAAAAAGCTCCGTACTATGATGAACATATGAAAAAAAATGTTGTACAGTAAATAAATAATATGTACAGCATAGATATACATTCTGACGGCTATATATCCCCTGCAGATACTAGGTAAAAAAATAGTATAGTTCTGTAATTTAATGTATGCCAAAGAAGTGTTAAGCATGTTTCTCTACTACTAGCATAAATGTAGTACTAGTAGTACTAGTAGTAGGCTAGTAAGTAGGCCTACTGTGTGTATAAAACCGTAAACGAAACCATCATAAAGGGTTGTCCTCTTAAGCAGTCTATAACCTCCCTTAACGTCACAACATTGTCAGAAGGCACGGCACAGAGCGTAGTAGGTGTTCGCAAGTGCGAGAGAGAGCGCTCCTATACGACTAGGCTAGCCCTACGTAACTACTTAAACTTACTCCCTCCAGCAGTACCAGTAGTCTAGGCTAACGTAGCCTAGGTAGGCCTATCAGTCTTTAGAGTAGTAATATATGCTATAGATTTGATATGCTTATTATTTAATCTAATCTAAAAATATACAATTAACTATATTTATTATAATACAACCTTTAATGTTCAACGATCATACAAAAATACACAATGTACGTTTTATCCTGATTCGGTTAGAAGCGATCCCACAAAAAACCAACACATGTGTTTGACATTTGACCTTTTGACCAATATATAATTGTGATTAGACCCTAACCATAATTATTAAATCAATCATGTACATTAAAATAAATAATAAAATTTGTGCTTTAAGTTATATAGAGGATTAAAAAATCGAGAGAAATAAATTATGAATTAGATTATATTAATAGAGAATTACATACAAGACGTGAATAAAATGGCGGCCGTAAGCACGCTCGAACAGCCGGTCTCCCAAGTACAGATTGATGGCTTAGTATGTGTTTCTTTAGCATTTATTTATTTTAACTTAGGTATATATTTAAAAAGTATGTATATGCTATTATAAAATATATTGTACTTTGTAAATTTGTTGTAGTTTTGAGGTTTTATTGGACCTGGCCCCACTAGCGTACACCACCATGCCATCATCATCGAGGGCCTAGGTAGCCTGGCCTAATAAATAGGCATATCTTCGCCCAGCCAGGAAGCTGGTGGCCTATGACAAAGTATAGGCTTAGCTAGGCAAGGTCGAGTAGTTTTCGGTTGTAGAGAAGCAGTGGTAGCTGGGCTAGGCCTCCTAGCCTACAGTAGATTCGTCAATAAAAAAAAAAATTAATTAAAAATAAAAAAATAAAAAAATTTATAGGTAGGCCTATTTTTCAATTCAATGAAAGAACACATTGATGTGGGTAATCTGCTGTTTAGATGACAAAAATTGGTTGAATGTTTACAGAGTCATGCTAAATTTAATGAAATAATTTTTTTCCCAGATTTACGCATGTTGGCCTATCTTAAATTTGTGACCATATGCATGCACCGCATGTACAGCCTACAGTAGCTAAGTCTAGATGCGATGTTCTCTGTGCAGGCATTCTGGTAGGCTACGCGATGACACATCACTCATATCGCGGCCTGGAGTGGCTCAAACTCTACCTAGCCTAGGGTATTTAAACACACTCAGGCACAGAGACTTATTCAATTAAATCAAAAATAACATTAAATAAGTTAATATATCTTTTATATTTTCATAATTTTTATATGTGAATGAGTCATTTTAATTTTTTTTTTTTGTATTTTAATTTTTCTTAAAATTGAAAATGTTCTAAACATAACACCACTAAGTTTTTTGAAGGTGGGAATTCCATCTTCCGAATTGGAAATTACAGGAAATCATTGTCTGATTGATTACCATCATTGCCAATTGGCATGTTGTTTGGGCACTAGATTTAACTATTTTTTGTATATTTTTAGTGTTTATAATGATAACATAAAAATAATTTTTTTCTTCTATTCTTTTCAGGTTGCTCTCAAGATTGTCAAACATTGTGAAGAAGAAGGAGGATGTACTGGTGAACTTGTACAAGGGGTTTTGTTAGGCCTAGTCGAAAAAGACACTCTTGAAATTACTAATTGTTTCCCATTTCCAAAACACACCGACGATGAGGACTTTGATGATGGTATTGATGCTAGTGTATATTAGTTATATATACTCTAAAATCTAAATCTTGAAAACAAATTTAGGCAATGGTTATTGTTACACCAGTTTAAAACCAATTCCTAATTCTGATTGGTGGTTGTATTTATGGATTGGAGTGGGACAATTAACGTTCAATCAGAATTATGAATTGTTTTCAGACTGGTGTAACAATTGTGCCTACCTTTTTTAATTGATTTCTCTTAGGTTGCAGTTTATACACTGAAAAATTTAATTTTTCAATATTAATAATAGGACTTTAGAAAGCAATTGTAAGCAAATCACATAACGATACAGTATTTTTTTTTAAACCTTTCCACAGAGCTTATCAAATTTTACAATACAGAAAGAACATTTCCAGTTTGGTTTCTGATCTTAAAATGTTTAATATTATAATTTATATAGTGTTGTATATTGCTTTCATTTCATTTTCAAGTTTCATCTTTTTGGCTCAAATAAAAATCTCTTGGCTGATTTCTGCTATATAAACCATTTCGTGTATCACTGCAGTTGCATAGTGAAGTGTTTATACAGTACGGTACAGCCATTAATAGTATCTATAGCGCCCTCTGGAGGGTGAAATGCTCTAATTGTCCGTATTATTAGCTAATTAAACAAAATCATTTGATAATCAATAATATTCATGCTGTTATTGTCATTGTTGTTATTATTGTTACTGTGTTGCTGCTGTAGTTATTGTTATTAACATTTATTATTATTGTTCCTATAATATAGAGCAGTATCAGATGGACATGATGAGGAACCTTCGGCATGTGAATATTGATCATCTCCATGTTGGATGGTATCAGTCAACTCACTATGGAACATTCCTTAACAAAGAGCTGCTTGATTCCCAGTACAACTATCAGCATTCTATAGAGGAATCTGTAGTTCTTATATATGGTAAGGAATTGTTCCGATGGTAAAAATAATGATAATTGTCAACTTATATAGCGCATAATGTAAAATACCTCTATGCGCTTTACAGCATGGTGTGGTAAAAAATTATTAAAAGTTTCACCTAACAAAAATAATAAGTAACTATAAAGAATAACAACAATAAAAATAAATATATAAAGTTAATAAATAAATAATTTGAAAATGCAGAATTTTATTTACTTTTTTTAAGATGATTGTTAAATATTTTTTTCCTTAGTTGTATTTCCTTACCTTTTACTCTTTTCTCCATTTCTTTTTTCCACTTTTCTTTTATTTTCTTTCATACTTACGACCCGTCTCTCTTTTCCTTTACTTCCCTGTAATTTCTTTTCTTACCTTTTCTTCCCCTACCCCCTTTTCTTCCTTACATTTTTCATTTTTCTACCTCTTTTCCCATTCCTTTACCTTTTCTTACATTATATTTTCCTTTTCTTTCACTTCCACACTTCTTATTAAAATAAGGATTATGTTACTGTAGTTTTTTATGGAGTGGAAATACATCAAAATAACAATGAATTCACCGATTTATAAAATTAAATTCTCATCCAACTGTAAGATATACAAAACTTAGAGGATGGAAGTGATCCTCTATACCCCTGGTTCTTCATTACTTTATTTGAAGGGCCAGATTAATTTTAGATTTGATATCATGGGCCAAAAAAAAATCTCTTTGTTTCAAGTATCTTGCTATAATTTATGGACCTAAGGTAAAATCCTGGGATGCTGTGGCCGAAAGCCCCTGTTGGCCGCACAGACGTTTGACATTTTTTGGCAATTTCAAATTCTATTCTATTTTTAATTGTACTTCCTACAGCACAATATTAGGACACTAAATTCATTACAATTTTTGCACCATAAGCTTCATATAACATTTTGCCAAATGAGAAATTAGGACACTTCATTTCACTATTTCTTGCTTATTAATCTTTTATTTCTTGCTTGCGAAAAATCTACCAATAATTCAGAACGTCTGAAGGTGGTCCAGGTCGCTAAGCTTCTGGAAGCTCTAACAATTTTGTAATTTTGAATGCTTAAGGCCCGTAATTTATCTTAAAACCTCATGTTCTGTAAAAGTTACATATGAATTTTTTCCCTAACGAATGCATTGAGTTCTTCTTTGAGAGAGTTCCCTCGGACGGGAATCTGCCTCTGCAACGGGAACCACCACATAATTTCAATTCTTGCAAAATTAGAGTTTGTTGGGAACTGACGGTTTTAAGTACTTATCATGATAAAGTGCTGCATTCAAAGCAGTCCTCGAATAGTTGCATAGGCCTAATAATAAGCAGACTTATACAGATTTGGAAATAAAAAAATAAAGCATATTTTCATGCTTAAAAATATTTTTCAGGGTCACTAATAGAGCTTGTCATGTCTTCCTTTCTTTGTGCAAGCGTAACTGTGAGCGAAGTATCGTTCCCTGAATTGGGCTTATTTCCCCCTATCATATTGACCTTACTTCTTATGCCTAACCAAATATTGTTACCTGCAACAACAACTCCCTGGTAATAGTAATCCTGTAGGAGTATTTTCAAACCAAACATGAAGTTACAGGCATAATCATGACAAAAACACAGTATTTTTTTAATCAGCCATACAAAGTTTGTACAACTTAATAGTTTGGCAGACAATCGGTATTTTCTGTGTGATTTCACCTATCCTATATCCACCAAATACCAGGGCTTTTTAAAGGCTAAAACATTTCGCCTGTAAAATCTTGGGTCCACTCATAATAAAAAAAAGTCTCTGATAAAGTTTTTATTTTTAATTCGCTATGTCATATCCAGCTGAACTAAGACTACCAACCTTTTGCCATTTGTCCATTGGTTAGTAACAGATTTAATTCTAGATCTGGTTAGGGGTCACCCCTACATCACATTGACCCAGTGTTGTGTTTTGGCCTTCACTTTATTGAAAAAATATTCATCGAATGGCTATTAATTTCAGTCCGTGGTTCCGCCTATTAAGAGCCAGGGTTCTATACGCTAGGGGAGTAGAGTTATCACATGATGTGACCCTATATTAGGTTTCCAGAAAACACCTTGTTATTCCGTTCAATTATAGATACACTAATTATTTTAAATTTACATCTCACTAGACCCAATCAAGACTACAAAAGGAAGCCTCAGTTTGAAAGCATACCGTTTGACAGCTGAGGCCATGGAAACTTACAGGGAACGAGATTTCTCACCAGAAAGGTAAAAATGGAAACAGTACATTTTTGTTTATATTATTACAAACAATATAAACCTTGTCATCGCGGGCTTTAAAAATGTGAGGTTAAATTTTCTTTGTTAACACATAAACTAGTAGTAAAAAGACTTGTAGTAAGCTGAAATATGTAGGTACTGTCTGATGTGTAGTTGAACCGCTGGTAGTATCTTATGTTGTTGATGAATAATAAAGATGTAGGCGATAAAACCAATCAAAAAAATAATTTTTGGAACATGATTGCCTGAGGTTATATGCAAACATTTCTCATGAATAAGTTAATTTAGGACTGGTTATAAGAGTCAGTCACTGTGTGTACTGTATTTTATACTTTGCGATGCGATAGTTATTCCAAAAATCAGTCAGCTTTACGATACACTTTCGATGGACAGATGCTCGGTCTTTGCTTGCAGGCAAACAGCTAAGCAGCTAGAAATGTTAGTTTAATACTGTATACGATGTCCAGTTCGCTCTTTGTTCGAAAGCATAAATACAGGCAAGCATAAAAAATGATAGACTTACTAGGCCTATACGATGTCGGGTTTTCTGTACAGACGTCGTACAGCGAGTTTCTCTAGTGATGTTCATGTGTGTTTCAAATATTGTTTAATAACCGTAATATGAAAATGATTATTTAAACAGCCGAAACCATTGCTTGAATGCCGTAGAAAATGTAGGAATCCTAGTACAGCACTGTAGTGAGTATAATTACAAATACTATGCCAGCAAACCTAGGCCTAGCCTAGGCTAATTAATTGGGCTAGACGATTTTTGCCACGGTTCGCGATTGGAAATTATTTAGGAGTATGTTGATGAATTTATACATGAATACGTAGGACAGTCACATGGCCCCTACCTAATTTTTTTTTTCTGGATCTGCATCTGTACATTGTAATTTATATTAACTAATAATATACACTACTGCCCTGGTACAGGTCTAGTTCTCAATACCTATTAACCTTTATCTCAAAAGTCAGTGCTGTTTCCTTTGCCAAGCTGTAATATTTTTAAATTTATTTATTCATACATACATTGCAGTATTCAATACCTTGTGAAAAAACAGCTCAGTTGCTAGAGAATTCAAACAGATTACAGTAATTAAATAGTCCTGGGTTCCAATCCTGAAGGGGTTATGATTGTTGGAGGTATTTCTCCAGCCAAGTTTAAATACACCCTAAATTTTTATTCAACTCTTCCTAAAATTTGTTTACATGCTCCTTGTAATTATTATTTTTACAGGTATGGTTTATGTTTACAATTATGGCTGCTTCATACAATAGATAACAAAGAGAAAACTTCATTTTAGGTTAACTTATATTCTGTTCTTCTTTGGTAGCACCAAGAAGAATGGTCTTACATATGAAAAACTGTTTGAAGAAATACCAGTGAACATCCGTAACTCCCATCTGATTAACATCATGCTATGTGAACTGGAGGAGCAGTCACCGCCCTCCGGAGACACTTTTCTAAACCTCGCTACTGGGTAAGTTTAATGTTTAAGGCCTTGTTTAGACTGTCAAATTTTATTCGACTAAAGCATGTGACATGCCCAAATATGGTCATGATGGTATCACATCATGATCATATATAGGCACATCATGACTATATATGTTTCCGTAAAATAGAATTTGATGGTTTGGACAGAGCATAACATGTTGACAAGTCTGGTTAAACTAGAGGTGCAAGTTATCTCGTGAGGCATTGTGTGCAGGCCATTATTTAATAGGAACTTTAGAAAGAAAAAAATCTTTATTCTACACACTGCCAATCAAGTGTTTGTTGAGCTGTCTGCACAAACAGCTTACATTACATTGTCATTCAGAACACAGAACACTTTGTGTTAGTACACCCAATTACCATGCAACCATTTTTTAGCAGTCAACAAGTTGAAATATCAGTTGAGCAGTATCTGTTAAGCAAATAGCATTTAAGTTAAGTGCTTACTTCTGTGTCTCAGTATGTTATTAGCATTCAATTTATGAATTAAACAAGAAAATAAATTCTTTGCCATTTCACATATATCTGATAATACTGTTCGTGTATTATTTCCGTAAATCTGCTTGTATATTAGTCTGTATTTTAACAAAAGAACTGAATAGTTTCAGTTTCTATTGAAGCTGATAACTTTTTTGATCTTTTAAAGCTTCTCAAACTATGGGTGCAAATCAAATTTGGGTTGCCAAAACCCTGTTTCTGACAAAAAAGACGACGTCACTTTGGTTAAGCTAATTTCAAAACATAGTGTCAAATACTTTTACATAACCTTCCTACAAAAAGACGTAGCTACAATGGCGAAAGCTAGAAATTCATTGTCAACTCAAAACCTAGAATCTACTCTCAAAATTGTGCTGTTGCCAATTTCTAAGGACTGATAAGATCATTAAAAAAAAAGTAGGAGCTCACAATTACATGTACATGCAGTTAATAAATAATGATGCTTTGTGTATAAAATGATGAGTTGCTTTGTTTTTTTTGGTTTTTTTTTTTGTTCCTTTTTGCAAGTGGTGGGCATGTACAAGCTTCAGTTTTCAATTATATTTTGTCCAGTCAACCTCACCCAAGTCAACTGTGCTGTATTGTTACATTAATCATTTCAAAATAATAAAAATATTAAATAAATAAATATTCTCTATACTATAAAATGAAACATTCTGCACATGATCGAAGATCATCGAAATGCATTGTGCACTGTGCTGAGTAAGTAAAAACTGAAACTGTTTATCACAGCCACTTTGTATTCGACTTAGCCAAGGTTGACTGTAGAAATACAACGATAGACCGCAAATATCTTTACCTGATAAATTAGAAGGCAAGTGCTATGGCTATCGAAATTTACTAGCAGAGATTTTATATTAAAAAAAGAAAGCCCCAGTATGTCAGAAAAAACAGTGGCATTATGATTTTATTGAGCTTCAAGTAGACCTAAGCAATCAACACATATATTAACATGACAGTAACCTAGTGGTATGACGATATACACCTTGCGTTGCCAAAGAATACAAAGTCTGGAAGTGGGTTGCAACCTGAAAAGTTCGAGAAGAAGCAGGGTTTTAACGGACCAATGAAAGGATTGTGGTGCATCATATATATATATATATATATATATATATATATATACCTAAATCATTATGTTTGACAAGAATCACAAAATTTTGAAAACATCGTCAAAAATAACAAGTATATATTACAATATGTATTACAAAACTATTTTGATAAATTGAGGATTAATAAATATGTATTACACAAAGACAAAGGTGATATGCAGTAATACTGTAATATTAAAATTCTCTTGTTTGAAATGATAAACTTTAATGATTGCAATAAACAAATATGAGTTGTATGGAATTTAAGATAATGCATTTAAAACGTAACTGATAGACAGTTCAAATTAATCAGGTGATAATGAAGATTGTATTCATTCAGATGCTTGTTAATAAAAAAAATAAATAAAATATCCTAAGCTATGCATCTCTCTGTGAATGGCTCCTGCAGCATGAATGGTTGAAGTAGTGACAGTTTTAATGTGACTTAAGCCCCATTTACACTAGACGCGATTACGACACAACAAGGACATATCATCGCATAGTTTTTTATTCTTCAACACTGCACGCATCTGTATCGTGTCGTGTTGTTGTAATCTTTTCTAGTGTAAATGGGGCTTTATTGGGGTGTCATTCTACAAATTAATTTGATTAAACAATAGTAACATGTCTGTTTTATTTTGCACAAATACCACTTACCGTAGGCCACTATTCATTATTAAATTGTAATTACTTTTCATAATCTAGGTGATAAATTTTAAGATAGTAATCAAATTTTATGAATTTTAGAATCCTGTATGTTGATCCCATGATTGTAACTCTGGTATGCAGATACACCTCCGCTGGTGGTAATTAAAAATGATGATGAATATTTATCTTGTATGTTGATAAATTGTTTATGTGGTAATGAAAATAAGTCAGCATTAATCCTGCTTGTTAAAATTTTAAGTATCCTGAGCTATGCATACCTGGAAATTTGCTCTGAAGCAGTAATGTATAGGGACAATTATGAAATTCATTTTATGAAATTTCTTGATTACATAATATTATAATGATAATTACAATAATTATTGTTGTCACTGTCAGTCTTCCAGACTACAAATTACCACTAAGTTCTCTTTATTCTGTGGTTGTTGGATTATTGGACTTGGCACCCTGGGGAAAAATTTACATTGCAATTACCATAAAACTAAATAGAAGCCCTAGGCTTCTTTTGTTTTTTGTGACATTTGGATGGGCTTCTTTTGCGACATTTGGATGGGCTTCTTTTCGAGATAAAGCCCATCGGGCTTCTATTCGAGGTTTACAGTAGTGCATTTGCAATTACCAGTTACCCATACTCAATGGTTGATGAACGACAAACTGGAACAAGTGCCTTACATAAGGACCCAAGGGAAGTGGAGAGAATGTTATTCAAAGCCCTAGAGCCTGGACTGCTACAACTGTCCAGACTCTTCCACATTGAATCTCATACACTTTTACCTATCTGTTTTTTATTTCCTTTTAAGCAACGTGCTTGAAAAAAATATGGAACTTCTTATGGATTGTTTAGATGACATAAATCAAGAGACCATTAAATTTCTAAACTATCAGCGAACACTGTACAAGATGAATGCAAATAAGCACCAACAGATTTATAAAAGGGTAAGACTTTCACATTTTTCTCTTCTAATTATTAGTAATGATAATTTAAGGTAATACTAATGATGTTACATGAATAAACGTGTCCCCGTAGAAATCCCCATAGTCAGTCCACTCACGCCATTATTTTATGTACCAAAATAAAGTAGTATGGCAGTATACAGTACACTACAAAACAAAAATAAATGAAAAATAAATCGGGTCAGAAAGGTGTTAACAGGAAATTACATTTCTGATCTTTGACCTGAGTTTGCCTGGCCTTTTCTCCATAACTGTGAGTCATAATTTAACCAGTAAAACCTCAAACACATGATTGTTTACACATTGCAATTTAGAATTGAAATAGCATGTCTAGGAACAGGAAGGGCAACACCAGGTAAAATGAGAAAAGGTCACCCAAGGGAAGAAAATTATTATTATTATTATTTTCTTAAATTGTATCCAATGATAAATTAGAGGAAATGTTTTTTTTTTTTATTGTACGCTTACTTGAATTAATATAATAGCAATTAAAAATACAATCTTTATTTTATAATGGCTATAGTACTTGTTCATTTAACAAGGCCATAAATATCATGAAAATGAAACAGACTTAACACTATGGCAAATTAACAATTTTATATTAGCTAAAGATAAGTAATGAAAACATGAATCATTTGTACTTAAATATATACAGTGTACTGTATATTATTAATAATATTGAATTAAGTTTTTTTTATGGTTTTGATATTATTACTACTTGTATTATAATTAATACTATAATAATGAGGATTTGTATGTACAGTATTAATATTATAATAATTAGGATTTGTATGTACAGTACAGTATTTAATTATTGTAGATCATTGTTGTATGCAGTTTGTGATATTTCACTTATTAACCAAATTGTTGTTGTTTTGTTTTGTAACAGAAACAAGAGAATGAAGCAAGAGCAGCCAAAGGTCAACCTCCGCTTCCGGAGGAGGACTTGAGCAAGCAGCAGAAGGCACCAATCGTGCCTTCACGCTTAGACAGTTTACTCATATCCGGTCAAATGAAGAAGCATTGTGACGAGATCAGTCGGTTTGCTACACAGAGTTTTGGCAAGCTATTTATGGCAGAGGCATTACAACCCAAAGAATGAAAGAACAGTATTTCGAATATCATAATCGATGCAAATCGAAACAATGGATTATAATCATCGCCATGTTAAACCACACTGTTGATATGGTAAACAAACCTGTTTGTATGATAAACTATTTGATTGCTAATGTAAATAACCTGGTGCTATTTGCTATTGTCAACTGCCCCTTAATTTTACTTTAGCCGAGTCTTGGTACACCGAGAATGTGTTGTATTGTTGAAAGTAAGACTGAGAGTAAGATTAGTGTCTCTTAATTTCCCTCCTCACAATACATTCCCAGATTTATCAAGTTAGTAAAATGCATTTTAGTAACCAAGTCTTCAAATATCCATAGTAAATATACAGAGGTTCCATAGCACCTAGTAATTTGTTTTGAGTGCAAAACACGAGTTGCTTAAATTACAGGTGCTGTACAGGATAATAACAGCTGTGGAATTTCAAACAACAGCCCACGTTTTTCTTAGTTTTCACAATAATTTATCAGTAATCTGATGAAAAAGTCATTTGTTCTGGACTTTATAGCTATTTATATATGGGTCTAGGCCTATAATAAATTTTAGTAGTATATTTGTCTGTTTCTGTAAGTCCGTACTTAGGCAAAATTTCTGTAGTAACTACAGAAATTCCCGTAGTACTTGAGAAGTCTGCGTTTCTGCCCTTCGCCTTTTTCTGATTTGTCACTATGCTCTGAATGTACATCCATTATTCAGAATTGGACAAAAAAACAACCTAGCATAATATAATCAATTCAGTTTTGTATTAGTGCTATAGCCATCAGCAATTAATTTCCATAGTAACTAATAACAGCACTCCATATTTATATATGAAAGCAAATATAATATTATTACTGTACTAGCAACATAACCAGAATTCTATTACTGTATATCTCATGCCAAAAGAAGAAAAAAATCAGTAAATAGAGCCAAGGCAAGCAATGCCCACTCAATTTGTGTATTTGTGACAAATGTGGATCAGAATTTTTGTAGGGATGAATAATGACTAAAAGAATGAGATATTATTTACTTAAGATGCCAGTTAAGGTAGTTAATCATACAACTAGTCTTATTTCTGGTAGGGTTCCTCAATTTTTTTTTAAAAGACTGATGACACTTCACAATTGATACTAAACCACTATATAAATATTGAAATGAATAAAGGTAGAAAACAATTATATCACTTTCTGTATTTTCTTATTAGTACATAATATTGTACATAATTATTACTGTTATAGTATTTTAGTATAAACTAATCTGACCTCAAGTCAGCCTTTTTTTTTTAGGGTGGGGGAGGAAAAAGGTCCTAAAATATTTGTATGAATATTTCAAAAGACCCTTTTTCAAACCTAAATTAATAAATTTGATATCTTGACCATGAACTTCAGCCTCTGGTTACCATACCAGTGCAACAGACAGAATATTCTTTAAAATTGAATGCAGTGGCTTCTTTGTCAGAAGCAAATCACAATGCAAGACTTTTTTTAAAACTCACGAACGTCTTAAGTGGACTCACATGACAATGCTTCTTTTATACAATATCAATTCTCGACTCAAAAAGTTCAACAGCCAGACTCCACTACAAACATTTGAATACTGTACTCCCAAAATAATAAAATAAAGTGCTGCTAGAATTTACAGAGAATTCTAATTAAATTATAGTATTATATACTGTACAGGCGCGGATCTAAAGTTTACCCTTACTGTAGCAAAGATGGGGTCACAAGAGAGCATAACTGCTTGTTCCGTCGCTGGAAGGCAAATTTTAGACATGGGGGTGGGGTGGGTGAGTGAGGAGTCTTGGGGTCCTCCTTTGGAAGAAAGTTTTGTTTTCTAGATGCTTGGAAATTCACTTTCGTGCATTATGAGACATCTATTAAAAGAATTCATAGTTTTTCCCTACTTACTATGGACAATTAATTGATAAGTGGCGGATTGGTGTCCGCTGTTGTTTTGGTGAATAGATAAATAAAAAAATGAATAAATAAATAGATAATAAAGATTATGATGAGGAGGAGAGGCACCGTAGGTAGGTGATGACAGGTTCCTGTACAAGATTAATTAACAGGCCCTTTGATGTGAATTATCAACCAAGACCCGTAGCCCGAGTTAGTTGCGAGTCTGGCAACATTATCGTCGTCGTCACATTTTCAATGCACACAATCGAACAACAGTAATTGTCTACAATCCAGTACATTCTCAACTGTCATGAAAATTTCATATATCCAAAAAATAATTGCATGCACCAAATTGGAAGGTTTAACCTAAAATTTTGATATATGGTTTATGTTGTTTGTTGAATAGTAATATTACATTCTAATGTGACCACAACATAAGGAAGTCCACTCTTTAAATTCTAAACAGAACACTTTTTTACACGTAGCTTCAGACACATAAATATATATTTCCATAGGGCTAAATTTCAAGGAAGTCCGCTCTTCACATGTTTAGCATAGATAGTAGAGATTTTGATTGCCTATCAATCTCATATATCCGAATTTTAGGAAATTACGTTTTATGGATGCATTGGCATGGGAATTTTAACCTAATCATTTTGATATACGTTTTATGTTTGTTGAATGATCTTCTTTAATAATATTACAGTATAATATCATGACAACATAAGGAAATGCTGCGCATAATAGAGTACAGGGAATTCTGATTGTTTATCAATCATTATACACATGATTATGTTAGATCCAATTTCCAGGAAATTATGTTTTATGCATGTTCCAAAGTGCAAAGTTTAACCTAATAATCTTAAATGATATTTTAGTCTAAAATTCACCTTATGACCATCTTATGCACCCATCGCACCACCCCACTCACTGGATATACGGGGCCTGGAAACTTTATATTTTACTTGCTATTATACGCTTAAGTGTCCGTAAGTTTTAAGCTCTAGTTCTACAATAGTCTACCCACTCCATTAAGGACCGGTCTTTTTTTAATAGCATTCATTAAAATAATGAAATGGTAATTCATTAATAAAAAAGTAATACTTTATTTTGTTCTAAATGGAATGAATTAAATAACCATATTAAAAACTCTCCGTCGATTTATGTTTTTAATCAAATATTAAATAACCACATACATCTTTTAAAGTACAGAAAAAAAGTTACTATGAGATCGGTGAAAGACATGAAAACCAAATTCATACTACAGTAGTATAATACATCCTGGTTTTAGTGGCTTAAAGTTTCACGTATTTGCTTATGGTCTGTGAAATAATTCAAAATGTGCATGTGTACACAAAGTTGAGGGTCCACTTCACTTCTTTTCTCTTTGCCATATTTATGAAACAAAAAGAAAACTGCTCACAAATGTCAACACAATTGTAACCCATGTTTTAGCCTTCTTTATCTTTTACTTTTTTATATGATTTATTTTTATTTGGATCAACTTTTGATCAGAATAAATACATCTTTATTAAATTTGCAGGTTAGGTATTTTATATATATTGTTGATCATTATTTTTATATATTTCAGTTACTTTTATTAGTGATATTAAATTAATTTTAATTTTACAGTACAGTACTGTAATATGTTTGGAGGCTTCTCTATTAAATACAGTAATAAGCCATTTAAAACCTCTAAATTGTCATATTTAATACTTTTGATAGATTTTTAAGCAACACCCAACCACGCCCACTTTTTTTTTGTTGGGGACATCAGCCCCAGATGTTTTCAAAATCACAACCTATATTTAAAAGCTGTACTGAATGCAAAAAATTAGCCAAGCTGGCTTTGTTTTCATACAGGCACTTGGAATCATGTAAAGCCTCTTTTCCTGTCGACGTTAAGCAACGTTAATCGACGTTTACAACATCTATCGTCAATTTTTTAACGATGATCTTTGAAGTTGAATGAATAACGATTTTATTAAAAATCGTGTCGGTCCGCCAAAGCTGACCATGTAAAACGCTGAATCGTTAAAGTTGAAAATTTTTTATGCTGATTCATCATGGCGCCTTTTGTCAGAAAGCTAACGATATCAATGTCTAGCACCAATTTGCGATCGATTTTACCCCTTTTCCTGTAAATCGTTAAAGTTTACCAATATTCATAACGTCGGCGTTGAAGTAGCAACAATCCCTTTTCCTGTAAATCGTTATTTTTGTTTGAATAACGATTGAGATAACGTCGCTTAACGTCGACAGGAAAAGAGGCTTAAGAATAGGCTTTAGACATGCGCTTGTAGATGAAAAACCAAGCTGGTAAATTGAAAGTGTAAAGTTTATTATGTTGAAGAACTTGGCAAAAATATTTTAATTTATTTATTTGTTTGAATTATTGGTTTAATTAAAAAGTATGTACCAGTCTTAACAATTTCTTACATATCTTAAAAATAATTTACCACACAGGGAAACCAAACAGTTAACTATCAATGAACAGAACATTTTATTGAGCTCTTTTGATTTCTTGTGACCTTCCACGCATTATTTTAACTTCAAATTTACAAAGTTCAACTGAAAAAAAGAATTCTTTGGCGCTTTGGCACTACCACATTGCATCACATTTGCTGATTCAATGAGCATGTTCAAAATCTTTGTCTATTGCTAGTGTCTACCAAGAAAAAAAAACAGGTTTATCCTGGCAATTTTTGAAAAATACAGTATTTCATAATGAAGTATCCTGACCTTATTCACTATTTTCCTTTTAACATTCCAAGTCTAATCATAATGAGTAGGTCTATTTATTACACTGGGCACACACTTTGCCAACAACCAACACAATACCATTGACACTGTGTCTTTCCTTTGTTGTGGTACAATTTTATCTACAATATCTCTAAATATAATTTCCTTTTAGGATTTATTTAATTTCAGTAGCAGAGTTATGTGCATCCATTCACCTTAATAGCAAATAAGCAAAAGGAAATATTAAATTAAAAAAATAACACAATTAGCCACCAAAGCTAGTGGGTATAACATCAAAACACGCCACTAGGTGGCAGTTTTTTCACACAATAATGAGCCTCTGCTCGACTAAATTTTGACTGTACAGTAATTATACTCCTCAAACTTGTCTATTTGTATGTGAAAGTAAATTAATTTATCAAAAAGCCTTGGTAAATATTCAGAAATAAACTCCCATTAAATGTGAAATATAGTGAAAGAAAAATGTAAAGCATGAACATGTACACAGTTAGCAGCCTCCTTGCAATAACTGGGGTCTAGGGGGTCAAATAAACATTGGTCATCGTAGTCAAAAGAAATGTCTTTAATTAATCAACAATTCTGCAATCTACATTTGTCTAATACTGTAGTTTAAATATTTCATACAGAAATTGCAACAAAATTACTCGGTGACCGTCTTGAAGCTGAAAGTGTACTGTACCTATAAATCAACAACGATCCTCTTAGTCGGCACTGGTTGTGTACCCACTATCCAAAATGTTAGTGACGCCTACTAATTCGGTCTATTGTTAAGAAGTCCTTCAAATAAATTAAATTGATAACTAAAAATATATACATAAAATTCACCAGCCTTGTATCATTTAATGGACATACACTAATTGTAAATATCTCATGATACCATGACTACTAGAAAATAAATAAGCATTACATAAAGCACCTGAATATTGATGATCCAATTTGCAATGTGCAGACAATAATATTAAAGAGATAAATATTAAGTTAAATATATAGTTTTGATAAAAGTTTTAAACACCCCTCAAAAAATGAATTTGTAACAATTTAATTGCTCAATTGAAAACATCACAGAGATCGAATGGATCTATGTAAGTTAGAATAGTATTTCTAAAACATTTTCTTTCCAAATTCTAATTTTCAACTGAAAGGTACATTCAAAATCGATTTAATATGCTTTAATATGTGCTTTATTTCTGTTTACAAAACAATATGGTGTAAGAAATTATTCAATAGTGTTAGGTAAAATAATTTAAATATATAGTTGCGATAAAAGTTTTAAACACCCCCTCAAAAACTTAACTTGTAACAATTCAATTGTTTAATTAAACAGATCAAAGAGATCGATGTAAATTAGAATAGTATTTCTAAACATTTTCTTTCCAAATTCTAATTTTCAACTGTACCTTCAAACTTCAAAATCGATTTGCTCAACTATGTGCTTTATTACTGAAAAATTTGGGGGGGGGGGGGGGGGGGGGGGAAAGAGCCGGCTGGGCCCCTTGAATCCGCCAATGTACAAACATTGGTATAAAATAAAAAATTATTCAAAATTGGGTCAAATTTAAATTCATTTTGTTATTGTTCATTTAAATCATTTAGATTACAGCTGAGAAGCATTCTATTGTATCCCACAGGATTAATTTACAATTAACAAGCATACCCTGTATCACAATATGTTTGTCCTCAGTCTTAAAAATTATAAAATGATATTGAAAATACAGCACTATGAATGCTGTTCATAATTACACTAGCTATTAAATGCTAAATTATAACATAAATTGCTGGTAAAAAAGACATTAAAGTGTCCATGTATACAGACACTGACCTTGTATTGCATATTAAATAACTAGTAAACAAATTGTTTAAAAAAAATCGTGTGCAAAATCGTATATTATGTAGACAGTACCAAACAGTATCATCAAACTGAAAATTTTCTTACAAAGCAATCTTACAAAATAATACAATTAAATAAACAACTAAAGTAAACTAACTAGAAGTTGGGTTAAATTTAAACCCAAGACAAGTACTGTAGGTCTATCTGTACATCTTCAATCTTGACTAAACACATTCATGTACTGGCAGACAGGCAAGAATTTGCGGAAATTTAATGTTGGGAATCCAAAGAATGATTTGGGTTTATGGACATGAATAAAGATCATGGCAAGTTTCAAACTTTTAAACATGCACTCCCAAAGCCTGCTTCCCTACCACTACACCACAGAACTAGGGTCTTATAGTACATTATCAATAATGTACATCAATTTACCTACTGTACAGGTGGTCAGGTTAGGTTAATACTGTTATAAGTTCTCTTCTCTTAAACACACACCCGAGTTATAGTATTCAGGAATAAATCCCACTTTAATCTTGTTCAAATCACACAAATATGCCTTCAAACTTCGAGGCAAGTTAAGCTCTTCGACACCTTTCACAGACCCCTGCAAACTCTTCATGATCACCAATCGACATCGTTCCTGTAATGTCGACATCTCCCGCCAAGCTGATGTCAATGTCATAATAGTCTTCGCTGCTGTCGAGGACATCATCGGATATAGTTCCTCTTTGACATTGTCTAAGCCGTCAAAAGCAACGCCTAAATATATTCCATCTTTATAGTAACTTAATGTACCTTGTATTCCGTCGAAGTAAACCCCGATTGTTGTGCTTTGATTCTCAGGGAAGGGCTTTGTGTAAATTTGTGAGACTCCCATGTGCCAGGTAAGTCCTTTGTGAGATAATCCCCAGCTAAATTGATTCTCACCGAGCAAATTCACAAACGCATCTACGTGTGTCCGTGCCTGCTTTGTTCCAATTCCAACCATCATACTTGTTCCAAAAACACGATTATTTATCTGAATTTCCCAGTAGTAATGTCCTCCATTTAGGGCTTTGGTGCCACGTACGCCTGCGGTGCCGTTTGACCAGTTTGGGTGGAAAAAGCTTCGTCGGAAGCCGTCGCCTTCAAGACGGCACTCATGGGACTTCGTTTCAAGATCCCACGTCCAACTGTCTGGACAAAAATTTTGAACTGGTGGCTCATCAATTCCATGACTCATGTCCAATCTGTAATCCATGTTAAATCTTCAATGTAGGAATACTGCAAGATGTCCAATAGGTTACTGCTTCAATTTCAGACCGTAAATTTCTACACTGTCCATTTCGTCTGACTCATTCAAATTTCATCATAATCGTATTAAGCCTAAACGCTGACATCACAAACAAGTAGCATTCTTGAAATTTGAAATCTATTTCATAACTGCTTTACAAGCCTGGATTGGTATATTTCCAAATATTGAACAAAATCAATCACTGTCCTAACACGAGATTGTTTCAAAATTGCAAGGAACTCCAACAGAAAATTACAACAGATGTCAATTGACCATGAATATTAATGACTGCACTTCACAGCAACCTGTAAAAGAATGAATTTGAGAGAGTGAATAGAATAAGTGGTAAACAATTTATTAAATTATAACTTTTTGAACATAAACAAAATATGCCATGTTTGTTTTATAATAATAATTTCAAATTATAAAGATACATACTGTACTAGTACAATTATGACCAAAATTTAACACCTTCTAGAACTTCTACTAGGAATTTTGGCAAAACTGTGCTACAGTATTCCAATTTAAATTTGGCAGTGAACTGTACAGTACATGGGATTTTCCACAATATGCTGTAGTCTGTAGTGTACACAAATATTATTGCAACATCTTAATGGTCTGTGACCTTTTGAATACTGTACATAAACGTGACCTATACAGTAGAACTACCCCATATAATACACTTCAGTTTTTATTTAAAGTTTTTTAGAACATCATACAGTAGGTTTACTAAACTGCAATCCAATTCACATCAATAAACATTTATTTTATTATGTTTTATATAAACATTTTATTTATTTAATACAAAAGGAGTGGCCAAGGAGCACACAGAAGAAAACAATTTGTGTTGGTGTGTACCCTTACACAAAAAAACAAGCAATTATCAAAAGAGTGCAAAAAAAAATCAAAAATTGATCAATCAATTGTACCTGTCAATCAAAGCAACCGGTCATTTGATTATTAAGGGACAAATAAATAATTAAAAATAAATTATATATCATCAACAAATAAATAAATTAATAAATCAACAAATTAATAAATTAATAATTAATAAATTATTAATCAACAAATACAATGCTGTTATAATTGATGACAAATAAGATTTTCCAAACTGCCAATGATTGATTGTTGTGTTGTATTAAAATGTTGTTTTAATTCTACAAGTTTTATAGAGTAGACCATGAATTGAACAAGAAAATATTTAGGATAAACTATGAGAATGTTATAGTTAGCTTCCAAGTTTTAGCAAATTTTACCATCAAATGGCATCATGAAGAATCTTTTGTGAGTCATCTTTGGACCATACTGTACATTAAATGCACTGTTTATCAGAGTGTACACCATGATATCACATAGTATACATCAGCTGTTAAGAAGGGTGATTTCTATGTATGAGGTCAAATGGTACTTACATGTAGAAGGAAGGGGGATCCCATGGGAGTCTGGGGTAAAGCCTCTGGATCTGAAACATTTTAAATGTTAAGCTTTGTTTACACTATCAAATTTCATCGAAAAAATTCTTTTTGATACAATTTTATTATATGTGATATGATGTCATTGTACCCATATTTGGGCACATTTTTTGTCACATAAAATTTGATAGTGTAGACATCCATTCCGCAACCTTTTTAGTCCACACCCCAACTTAAATGTCAAGCACTCAAGTGCGACCCATCGGACCCGAAGGCCTAATATATCACCCGAATTTCATGGTAAAATGATTGAATATTGTATTATTTTTTTTTATGAAGTCAATAAATCACGTCTGTCATTTTATACACGTGCAATTGCGGAGATCAGTTACAGACGTTTTACTACAACAATAAATTTTCTGCCAGAAATGTATGGGTTATTGGAAGACTAGTATACGCACTAATTTAGAAAAATGTCGCTATAATTTTCACCTGAAAGCCAAACACATTGACAAAGCAAAACTAAAACTTTCAAATTGTCATAACTGAAGTACAAATGTTTTGATAGTACTGTATACGCACGCATTACAACAGTACTCGGACACATATGCCACACTTGTATGCACGTTTCTTTACTACAATTTTGATTTTCTTTGTCTTCGTTCGTATTAAATTTCCACAATCTGAAGACATATGCTACCCATCAATTTTTTTTCACGACCCAAACATTGGGTCGCAACCCATAGGTTGCGGAACGGTGGTGTAAACAAAACTTAAAGGTGGATTGGTTTATCGGAGGGGTTTTTGCTTGGGTTTTCGCTCAAAAACCATATTACCCTACTGTAGATAAGAGCATTACTGTACATAGAAAATTAAATAAATGATAATTTCGCTATCAAAACATTTTAAAAACTGGACGCAATCTTTCTCGTAAACATAAATTTGTATTTAAATTGTTTGAAATGTAAACATTAAACACTGAATAATATTGACCTTGGTACAATAATTCACTTTATATTGCTCATAAAATTTAACTTAGGGTATATAATTTTATAGGGGTTTAGTTCTTAAACTTTGGTAAGACAATTATGTATGTAATTGTCATATGACATAGACATACATGGTTAGGGCTGAGGTTAACTGAATCCTCTGAACATCTATAAAATGCCTTCCCTGGGCCCCTCAATTTCATATTCCTAGATCAGCCACTGCGTAGCTGCACTGGAAATGACATAATAACATTTTAAAAAGGTTTTTATTGTCGGAATTTAGTGTAGACTTTGAGTGCATTTATTGGTGTTTGTAGCACTCTCAAGCATGTTTTGCTGCTTTTTTTCCATACATTTTGTAATTCTGATATAATAGATCAGCAGGGAGTAATTACTGTAGTTGTTACTGTATAACAACCCCCTGGTATAATAAATGATAAATAATCATGGCTACATTATTGCAAGAATATATACAGTGAAAGCACTGTGTCTATTGTCATATCTGTGTGCTGATACACGGGAGAACATTTTGGTAAAACATTCAGTTGGCATTTTAAGTAATGGTTCCTCATACTTGTGTAATTATTTTTTCTGTTTTTGCTCTGTATGTTTGCCAATGCCTGTAAATAATTATAATAAAACAGACATCTTTTAAATACAACCCTACCACAACTTTCCTGTTAAAGTACTGTTGGCCTTATTTATGAACATCCTAGGAAAATAATAATAATAATTCTTTATTTGTTCTCATTCCCAGCCGCACTGCAGAGCCACCCAACATATAAAGCCTATTTGGGTTTTAAACATGTTGTATACTATAATACAGTAGCCTTCATACCAAGGGCTGCAAATACTAACTACTGTATTTACTCATGCTAAATAAAGATGTCAATATATCGATCTGTAGTAAATTCAACAAGATAAGATTCTATGAAAACTAATCAAGCATCCATCCACTCACCTACAGTATCTAAAGCTTGAAAGACCACTTGGGATATAACCACATATTTTTTTTAATCTACTATACTGTCTACTGTCAGTTTTAGAGTAATAATAAAGGGATTTTGCAAAGCCTAATGAAAGCTTAGCAGCAAAATTGCTTCCTCTACAATTTCTGTAATATGATAATCCATTATAAATCTCATTACAGTACATTCATAATCTTATGACCACATTGAATGCTTTCTATTACGTCATGGCCTTTCCGTGACCATATTTAATATGTCAATATTATTCATTTTTGTCATGTTTGTTTCTGCATACACACAACTTACTGACATAAATATAATTAATTTTCCCAAAATACTTCCGTTTCCTCTTCTTTGATGCAGTGTAGAACATCTGTGTAAACAACTGTCTGTCTCTTATACACATCTAGATGTGTATAAGAGACAGATACTAAGGTCGCCCAAATAATATTTACGTCCTGGCAGACTGGATCCACTGGTTACAGCAGCGTGCAAACATCAGAAAGAATACAGTACCGTATTGTGGAAATCAATATCTTGCATGGGAATGGGACAACAGATTTTAAACACGCAATAATAAAAAAATCAAATAACATTCACATACGATATAAATGATATCAATATGGTAGGCCCATATGTTATTTGAGATTTCTCCCATAAATTATTTAAGCTTTTGGAAAGAAAATAAACATTTAGGCTGCCATTGAATGATCAATTATAATAAAATGTATACATGTACAAGTACTATGGTACTTTCGGACGATCTACTTGTGTTGGTCCACGAGTATAAGGTCATTAGGCCACCCCACCAAATAAAATGTAATCTGTATTGATAAAATCAAATTGTATACTAATGCAAAACGTTTAGATTTATATTATTATAATACGGTATTCACTGAAATTACACCTTCAATTAGCTTGCAGTTTACCACTTCTGGGCTGGCTACAGGTGAATAATAAATAACATTCTGTCCTGAAAATAAATAATACTGTACATGAAATCAATAATTATTATTAAAATAGGCTACACCACGAAATAGAACGAATACAGATCATTTCGGTCGCACCATTATTTCGGTCGCGCCGTATTGTTATGCATTTCAGTCGCGATAAACAGCCTCAGTATGGAACACCAATATACGCACTAGTGCTTTATGTTTGGAAAGTAATTTTTAAAGGGATAAATAATACTGTATGAAAGCAATAATTATTAAAATACAGTAGGCTACACCACGAAATAGAACGAATTAGAAGATCATTTCGGTCGCGCCTTTATTCCGGTCCCACCATATTATTATGCATTTCGGTCACGATAAACAGCCTCAGTATGGAACGCTGATATACTGTACGCACTAGTGCTTTATGTTTGGAAAGTAATTTTTAAAGGGTTCTGTATTTTTAAAGTTTTTTGTGCGACTGGGTATTAATTTTATTTATTTTGTCCTTTTTTTACGATGCTTGACTATCATAGGCCTAATATTCTTTGTATTTTTTTTTTGTTAATATGATTGTTGTTTCAAGTTTTTTTACAATTGCTATTAATTACAAGTAATTTGAATATAATTTTAACGTGTTCTTTTTCTTACAAATTCAGAAGTGAAAAGTCAAGTACATATTTGTGTACTTGAATTATTATTAATAAAAGGCCACGAATGTTGTTATGATTATGATTTAATTTGTTTAATCAAAACATATAATATATATATACTTTTAATTCAGAATATTAAATTATACTATTTGTCTCTAATTTTAATCTTAGAGTCCCCCAGTCGCCGTCTCAGAAACAATCCTACGTTTTACATTCCTTTTTGTAGAGTTAATGTTTTAAAAAATGGTTATGTTTGTAGATTAAGTCAAAGTTATAATTCCCTTGTTTTAAAAAATCCTGAGTGATAATGGTGATATGAAGTGAAGGTGAACGCACTTGAATACCTTCACTGCCACTGCCATGACCTGCTAAAAATAGCTAGTCATCTATATTTAGCATCTGACCTACTTCTGTCTTTGCAGTGTAATGCGTTCACATTCCTTCCTGAAGGCGGCGTACAAAGAATATGCCTTCTCACCCTCATGAGCACCGTGGGAACCTTGGTTGTGGGAAAGTTTCCGATTTTATGGTTAGATACCAGGCAACTAGTACAGGAGGCCTCGAAGTAGTGAATTTTTCTAGCTTTAGAAGGAAGCTCGCCCTGAAGACCGAAACCGTGGAATGGCTATTAATATGTATTTAAAATTATATATTAAATCTGTATTTTACTATGTATTTTATAAACATCAGAATATGTATAAAAAATGTAATAAAACAAACAAGAAAATACAAACCATGTGCTGCTTCGCCTCCATGGGAATCTAGTTTGTGGGAAATTAAATTCTAGCGTAACTACAGAATAGGACTAGAAATCTGAGTCAGTTTGTCGGGCTATGAATATAAAAGAAGCCTGAAATGGGCCATTAAAATGTACAGTGTTTAATTATAAATATATTGAAAATTTTATTTGGAAAATAAATATGAAAATACTAGGCCTATATATTTCCTTCATTTTCATTCATCATTTATATCATTCAGTATGTTCATTTATCAAATTATAAATATGATCAGAGCTTTCAAGATAAATGGAAACGTTACAGACAAGTAAACAAATGTATGAAAAACTAATCTATTGACCATATTTATTTTATAAATCTCCATTCAATTTTGCATTAATATAATATATATATATCGCAAACAAATGTCGGGATTCAATATTTCGACATTATGTCATCATACACGTAATACAGTATTATTAATAATCATAAACTATATTAATATTATAGTACTGTAATACAAGTAATTGTTAGTCAACTAATGTTTTATGTAAGTTTTGTGTTTATAAATACATTATGCCCTTGTTCCAGATTTGCGGTAGCACCGTCGGCGCGCCATACACCGCGACCGAAATGCATAACGAAAATAGCGCGACCGAAATGAAGACGTGACTGAAATGATCTGATAACGGCCTAACCTGCCTGATTGAGCAAGCAGCTGATTAGGAAAATTCCACAGGCCTAGCCCCTAGGCTAGCCTAGGCCTGAAAAAGAGGTGTTCTTCCATGTCCATATGTTATAGTAAAGTACACCACTGCACTCACGATATTACCTCAAAAGAGCGGGAAACGCAGGAATGTCCATATAGTTCTCCCTCGTTGGAATCGCTAGATGCCAGATCACTGCTAGCTGGCGGAGACTCTTTTACTAGTATCTTTGCTTTTATCCAAAACATAACAAAGACTTCTCTATCCTGTTTCGTCAAAGCCCTAGGCCTAGATCATAACAACAGAGCCGAAATTTAAAATGTGCGCAGACTCATGCACTAGTTTTGAGAAAAGCTCTCCGTAGTTGTAAATGCTGCCACCTAAGATGTGTATAAGAGACAGCAGTAGGCTACACCACGAAATAGAACGAATTAGAAGATCAGTCCTGAAAATAAATAATACTGTACATGAAATCAATAATTATTATTAAAATAGGCTACACTGAATTTTATTTGGAAAATAAATATGAAACTACTATATATTTCCTTCATCATTTATATCATTCAGTATGTTCATTTATCAAATTATAAATATGATCAGAACTTTCAAGACAAACAAGTAAACAAATGTATGAAAAACTAATCTACTGACCATATTTATTTTATAAATCTCCATTCAATTTTGCATTAATAAAATATATATCGCAACAAATACACGCCATCATGTCGGGATTCAATATTTCGACATTATGTCCTCATACACGTAATACAGTATTATTAATAATCATAAACTATATTAATATTATAGTACAGTAATACAAGTAATTGTTAGTCAACTAATGTTTTATGTAAGTTTTGTGTTTATAAATACACTATGCCCTTGTTCCAGATTTGCGGTAGCACCGTCGGCGCGCCATACACCGCGACCGAAATGCATAACGAAAATAGCGCGACCGAAATGAAGACGTGACTGAAATGATCTGATAACGGCCTAACCTGCCTGATTGAGCAAGCAGCTGATTAGGAAAATTCCACAGGCCTAGCCCCTAGGCTAGCCTAGGCCTGAAAAAGAGGTGTTCTTCCATGTCCATATGTTATAGTAAAGTACACCACTGCACTCACGATATTACCTCAAAAGAGCGGGAAACGCAGGAATGTCCATATAGTTCTCCCTCGTTGGAATCGCTAGATGCCAGATCACTGCTAGCTGGCGGAGACTCTTTTACTAGTATCTTTGCTTTTATCCAAAACATAACAAAGACTTCTCTATCCTGTTTCGTCAAAGCCCTAGGCCTAGATATCATAACAACAGAGCCGAAATTTAAAATGTGCGCAGACTCATGCACTAGTTTTGAGAAAAGCTCTCCGTAGTTGTAAATGCTGCCACCTACAATCTATAAAAATTCGACCTACAGCTTCCCTACAGCTTAGTATAAATTGAGAAAATTAAAACTGAAAAGAACTAGAAATATAATTTTTGCCAATCACGCGACTTTTATAATTAACACTGTTGCTTGTTTACTCTGTTCCCTAATTCTGGCAGCAAATTAAATTTGAAAAAAAAAAATCAGTTTTATAGCGTTTTTAACAATGACAGTCATGAATTTGAAAACTAAAACTAAAATATTCAATATTCAATATTTATATCTAATTGGTCTAAGTCATTTATAATCACAGTGGTTATTAACGGTTCTCATATAGGCCTATGTTTGTTTAATATTTTAACAGTATTTGTTGATTTATTTTTATTTATTATTTATTTACTTATTTCAGCAACCCTTCAAAAGCTTATTGTTGGGTCTTCACCTCTCTTTAAAAAAAAATTAATGAAATCTGATTCTTACAAACTGTAGGCTCATGAAAGAGAAATAAATGTAATGTTAAATTGAATTGAAAATGTTATGAAAGCGCATGTATATTATTGAAAAATTGTCTTTTTTTCAATTGTTACTTACTGAAAGTTAATAATTTAATTGATGTGGTTTTGCCTTAATCTATGACTATGGAATTAATAATTTACTTGATGTGGTTCTATAATTGAGAAATTAACGTTTTTAAACATTTGGCTGTTCTTGATTTTTTGTGTGGCAATGTTACAGACTATCGTCGGTAAGTCATGAATGACACTGTATGAAACGTTGTAAATATTAATGAGAGACAACTAAGGTCACAATAACAATAATGAGGTCACATCATCAAACCAGAATGTTACATCCGTGTTTGGACTATACTTGAGTCTATCCAGGGGAACTCCCTCATGCCTTCGCCATTCTTGATAGGTACCTTAAACCATATTTATAGAGGGATTATAGTAGCCTATATGAAGTTCCTCTATAGGCCTAAATTAAATAAGGTGTGATGCTTTCAGTGTCGGATCCAGAGATAGATGTCCAAAAGGGTGCCGAAAGCGGTTCCGAAAGTTGGGCAGATTGATAAAACACGACCCTACCCTACGGGGTTCGGAGACATGCCCCTGCGATATTTTTGTTTTCTAGACGCCAGAAAATAACCTCCGGGGCATCTTGAGGGATTAATTTTTTCTTTTTTTTTTGTCTTTCTTCTGTTTTTCCCGCCCTCTTCCCTCCCCAATCCGCCATGGCTTTTACCAGCGAAGTCTCTTTATGAGGAGTGGAGTTGCTTTTTAGTTGTCACGGGAATTGAACCCAGAACTCACTTATTATGCCTGACGTGTCCGGCCTCGTACTCTTTTTCGAGCCTCATAAGCCTATTTTTGCTATTATTCGTTTAATAAATTGTTCAGCTTTCACTCTCGATAACATTGCAGGTCTTAATTGTTCTGAAATCTGATTTTGAGTTGTCTGATTCGGCGTGGACCTCCCCACGTACTTTACCGATACGTTTTTACACGTACTTAAAACTCCTTCGTCTCCACTTTAAATACCGGTAAGCATTTTTCAACCTTGTTGTTAGAGAAAGAATCTTTATTTAATACTGAGTACGGTAATTTATATATTTAATTAATTTTGTTTACCTTTACTTTTTTAAGAGCTGATTGATGGTACAGGTGGCTCTTCGAAATTTGTGACAAGTAAAGCATGCTGTTCATACAATTGCTTTTCCTTTTCATGTTTTTGTTTGTTTGTTTGTTTTTTTGGGGGTTTTTTTTTTGGTTTTTTTTTTGTTTTTTTTCGAGGAGCTACCTACTTCATCAGCAGCACTACTACTTGTGTTGATTTCCTCTTTAGAATTACATTGTTTAATAATTTTGTCAATTCATTTACTAGTGCAGAGTAGAGCCCTTTTAAAGGGACACCTTGGGGAAAAAGTGTCTTCTTACTGATTATAGCTACAATTGGTGTATATGTTCCCGATATTGTTTTCTTGATTCGAGCTCAATGTTAATGACCAAAGGCCGAATATTCTTTTTTAAATATTGAGCTTTCTATTGAATGCACAAGATAGATTAGCATGAATAGAATAACAACTTAGAAATCAGGGTCCAGGTATAGGTTAGATTAGAATCCTATATTAAAATACAAAAAGCAAGGAATCCCCATGGTTAATCAAAATCAAGATTGTATTTCGTATTCGACCAGTTTGTCGAAAATCCAGTTTGCAGAGTCCTGGCCACTTTGCCGAAACCCATTTTCCCGAATCTAGTTCACTGAATCACAATAGCCCAGTTTGCCGAAACTTCAGTTTGCAGAAACTCAGTTTGCCGAAACCCAGTTTGCCGAATGCCGTCACTGTCGTACATAAGTATGGGCCTACATCATACTGTGCTTTTGCAAAATAATGGGTGGGTCAGGGAGTAGACGTATTTATATGCAAATTAAAAGGCAAAATACTGGAAAACAACAATGATGTGGGAAAATACACTTAAAAGCATTTCTGTCAATTATAATTAGAAATAAAATGAAATGAAATGAAGGATCAAGCACCGTATCCTCCAAACTGGGTTAAGCCGAATTGGGTTGCAGCAGACTGGGATTCATGAGTTTTGTGTCGGCAAACTGTATTCGGCAATCTGGGTTTCGACAAAGTGGACCCCGCAATCTGGGAAATTCTGGTTTGTAGTTAAGTTTATTGCTCAAAAGTTATCAAAGTATAAATTAGAATTATGTTTTCTTATTTTACTACTGAAGTAGTTTTGATACAATTGATTTAACAATTTTGCACACTCAGAAAATGTTCCTGTGCTCATAATAATAGTGGTGTCCCGTTAATAGGGATTGGCAGTAGTGTTAAAAGATATATTTCCCCTCGTTTACAATACAATACAATGAACTTTATTTCTGGCAATAAACCAAATACAAATTAACAGTGCTTATAATGTCTTCAGAAATTGCAAGAAAGGGAGGAAACTGAAGTAAAAACTTATGGAAAAGTGTCCCCTTGTATTAGTGGTGTCCCTAGATTGTACCAAAGGAAGGTTGTACTGTAGTTAAGAATCTTAATCCGTCTATTTTGTTTCGCTATGAACGCACTAAATGATTTTTTGAGTGTCACTGATTTAAAGGTGTATGTTCGAATAAATATTACACTGTATTATAATATAATTAGGCCTATTAAATAAGCCTAAATATGAAAATCTTCTACAAATCATCCGCAATGAATACGTTAAAAGTAGGATGACAATCTTTGTCAGTCAAGACCAGTTTATATTTTGCGTTACTAGATTGCATCAAATGCTCACTTGATCATTTGACAATAACACACCCTTATGTGAGCTTGGACCTTCATAGTGTTGGTGACCAACGGCTTAAACTTCTCTTCTTGGTATTTTCGACACAGGTAAATGGATCCGTGATTCAAAGAACAGGAGAATTAAACCAGTGACCCATGTTGATCACCTGGTGTGTTATACGAATCCATGTCTGCCCTACCTGACTTGCATAATACTAAATGCTCAGTAGGTTCCAAGAAAAGAATCTCGCAAGTGGCTCTGGAGGAAATCTAGCCCACGACCTCCAAATAACTAGTCTGGTGTCTTAACCACTCGACCACCGAGCTTGCGCTTGGTATTAATGAATCCGAAGCCCAAGTGCGGGTCTGCAATGCTATTCCGATGGCGTTTTTGCGTGCAGAAGATATACGAATCGATGTTTGCCCTGACGTGTTACATCTAACCTAATATGTTGTTTAATATAATGTTTGTGTGACGTTGTTACAACGTTTATTTGTCGGAGCAATATATAATGTATTATTTTGGGGGTTTACTTTGTGCAATTTGTGCATGGTTATTTTCAATATATAAAATTACTCATAAAAATTCATTTTGATTGTCATAACAGTTTTTGAATTTAATATTTTCAATATGTGTGATCATGATACGCATAACATAGTTTAAGAAGCCGGTGACGTAACGACATCCAAACTTCATGGGAAAAACATCGGTCACACGGCATGGATAATCGATTACCTCGGCTTTTAATAGAGACGTCATAATCACCAAAAGATTATCGGGGAAATATCAAATACCTACATTTATATAAATTCAAAGCCTGGTGATCGCATTAAGTATATACAATCAATGCCCATGAACACTTAGGCTATCTGATAATACTGTAGGCCTACTTTAAAGTTGCTATGATTGACGTGCGCAGTGCCTCTGCTCGGCTCAGATTGCTATAGCCTAAGTCATACGATGGCCTAGACGAAACGCTGCATGAATTCTTTACGAATTACCATGCAGGGCACTTAAAAAATTAGTTTTGTTACTTATTCTATTTATATATTGAGTCTTAATTAAATGTGTGAAATATAAAGTGGTAGGCCTATATTCAGAATTTAAACGGAAAGCCTGAATGAGTAAGAGGAGATAGGCAAGCCTACAGGCCTAGAAATAGGCCCTATTCATTTAGCCTAGAGTAAGAAACGAAAAGAGAAGACAGGCCTAGTTGATTGGAAATTGATTTAACGTTATATTATAAAAATTATGTATATCAAAATTTTTGCTATTTATATTTTCTGTTAATTATTATTTATGACCCGTGAAATGTACGACCACTGTTAGGCCTATATAACACTATGCTAAAATTGCAAGAAATCTGTATTTTCATTATTGTGCATTTATTTCGGAGAAAAGACGTCACAATCTTAAACAATTACTCGAGATTTTTTTAGGAAAACGAACAAGCGGATTGAGACTAAACAAATACAACAATTGTATAGATTCAATGACACTTGGAAAATTATAGTTAACATCAAGTTTCAGTTTATAATTACTGACGTGGTTCAACAATTGAGTTTTTGATTCTTAAGTGTCTCATTCAATTACAAGATGAATCCTTGCCGAGCTTCCAAGTAAATAAGGCCCCGATTGTAATAAGCATAAACAGCAGCTTAGCATCAGAAAGATGTGGATTACATCTCTTGTATATCAAAACTGTGTATAATATAGGCCTATTATGATTTGGTTTATAAATAATTCTAGCAGTGTCTCACACAATTCAACTGTTAAATTAGGCTTGTGTATTCGCTAATAAACATAAAGACACCACACAGAGGAACGCGTGTTCCCTCTCTTAGTTTTTATTTATATTATAATAACTAACATGGAAGCCAGACCTCAGACAAAATAAATATCCATAAACGTGTCGTGACGTTTGGGCCTAAATGTAGGATGGGTGTTATGTGAGTGTATGTGTGTATGACAACGGATGTATGTGAAAGTGAATAACCATGGGCATCTTCAACTATTTACTGGACTAGACCTGGTTTTATGCATTAAACATATAATATCAATGCCATCCTAACCTCAGGGAACTATACGGTTCAACATACTGTACTGTATAATAGGCCTATTAATAAGACTGCAGATCTTAAAATAAACGACGGACACTTTGACATAATTAGAGACATAATACTAAAAATAGTCACTTAATATAGGCCTATATATGCCGTATATATATATATATATATATATATATATATATATATATATATATATATACATAGGCTTGCCATATCTGTGTGACGCTGTGGTAGCTTGGAATTTCATATTTAGCAATGAATGTAGGAAGATTATAATATAAATCTGCTTACCTACGTAAATGAAACTTTAAATGCTTAAAACGCTTGAGGTTTTATTATTTTGTAAAGGAGAAGTCCTTTCAAAAGCAGCCTAATCCTTTCCGCTTCTACAAGCTCAATGTCAACAAAGTTGATAAAAATCACAGAATTTTCCGCAATAACATCAAACTATAAAGCAACACCAACTGGGCTACAAGCTAATTTGATTTACAGAGGTAGTGAATATCATGCCGATGGAAATTATAATGCCAAAAGCAGGTCGAATTTACCGACCACATTTCTTTTGGCCGAAGGGTTCTGACACAAAGTAGGTTGAACAATTTTTATTTTGGTTGAACAAACAGAGACTGAACTTTAATACAGCTCTCCCTCTAATTAAAGACCGCTTCTGGGACCAGGGATTCCATGGTCGTTAGCAGCTTTAGTCTCTAATTAGAATAATAAAGATAAAAAACATTTGTTAATTTGGGACCACAGAAAAGTGGTCCTTTTTGGAGGTGGTCATTAAATGGATGGTCCTTAATTAGAGAGAGATCTTATTTTGTGTTGATATTCGTTTAAATTGTTTTGTTTACATCTGTTTTGTTCCAGCGTTACTGGTAATGAAACTTTGTACTGCTAAATTTTAGAATATAACAAAACACAGTATTATAATAATATTGAACCCTAACATTGCTCATTGCCAATATCGTATACTTATGCATTGTTGGAGAGGGCCTATGAAATGGCGGTGAGTTTAAGAACATGAGCGGCTTCTTTAAAATTGTACATATGCCTACCTAAATAAATCAGGACCATTTCGAGGCGGTATTACTTTTTTTTACGTTGGTTGCTCTATCATATTTTCTTATGTGGTAAACTTGCAATAGTTATCTCTTGTCAAAAAATTTTAATTTTCTTCTAATAAAATAAATAAAATGAGAATCTAATAATACACACAACGATTAAATTTAGGTACATTAAAAATGCCTATTAATAAGAGAATAGACCAATGAAAAAAACAAAATTCGTGTAAGATCTATTCAACATTTTAATTGAAAGTTTATTTTTTCCTTTTTGTTGGCAGGCAGTATAATCGAATGTCTTCAAAGAATACTTATGCTATCTGGTTAGCATATATAAATATAACTTATTTATTACCAGTTTGTCAGACCATGTTTACGTAGGAAATAAACACACATAATGTACAAAGGTGAAATTTGAAGTTAACTTTATCATCTGAATTATCCAGAGCAGTAATTTATTAACAATTTGAGGATATAAACAAACAATAAAAATACTGTAATTATAGGTCTATCGTGCATTCAAGCAACAATATCAGCATACAGTTCCGCTAACGCCATCACGCAACAGCAGCACGTAAACCACTATGATTGTGGGACATGCGGGTACTTATTCCTGAAATTTTTCTGATTAGTAACGTTTGCTTGATACTCGGGAAATGTTCACTAACGGAAGCTGTGATTCACTGATGATGTTACAATTAAATATGGACAATATAACAATCACAGTGAATGACTACCTCTACTTGATCCAAACCACAAACTGCTAAAATTATATTCAAGTATTTTATATTCTGCTGAATCATGTCACTATTCGTCTTAACATTATTTTTTCGAAGAAAGTTAAACCTACAGCGTGAACGTTGCGTTAAGTTCTCATTTAGGCATACCCCACCATAACATTGTACGGTAGCAACGCAAGAATACACAATGCAGAATATTAAATGAAAGAGTTAAAGAGCTTGTGAGTTTCAACAAATTAATAGACAATAAAGTATTTAAAATTGTTATAGTCCTCTCAATTATCCTGAACATTGTACGCCAATTATAACACGCAAATACTGAACACCATTGTTATATTCATTTTATAGACGCTTAAATTTGATGATAATCGAGGTAATCCTTTCAATTCAATTTTATTATTTTAGGCCTATATAGTGAATTAACTTTACTATGCCGACTTTATTATTCATATTATATTAATGGTCCTTTTATTCATAACCACACCAGTTAAATAAATTCAATTAAATTTAAAAAAAAAAGAGCAAAAAACATTTTACTATCCATAGGGGCATCATTGATCGTTATCGTTTTACATCGTCTGGCCTTTGAAATCATGCCTCAAATTTCTTCAATATATTTTTGGTGACATGAACTGATGATATTTTAACGTTATGCCTATACACTATTTTCATTGGTTATTATATTTTAAAGAATCATTGTGTAGAAAAAAAAAACCCGTTTGATATAAAATAAAGAAAATCATGAAAAAAGACGATGAAAGAAAAAAATGCGGGTTATCTTCACAAAATGACATCAAACATAATTTTTGATATGATATAATACAGGTCTGAAAGAGTCAATTTCACTCTAAACGAGTGCCTAAAAGAGTATCTATCATTCCAATTTATCTCTCTCTAGAGTGAAAATTCACTCTTAAATGAGTGAATATTATTCTTAAAATAGTTAAAAGTGGTAAAATTCATTCTGAACAGAGGGAAATCTTACACTTTTTCACTTTATCTATATTTCACTCTTTTTTTTTACTCTTTGTGCTAATTAAATTTGATGATTTTACTTACTATATTGATGAATAAAGCTGATGGCGCATCACAAAAGAGAAAAACAATTTCTCCAATCCCTTAACATAAACATTATAGTTTTATGATACAATAAAGATACAAGATACAAGATAAAATCATATTATTTTATTGTCACTAGTAGGGCCTACACAAAATACAAGTAAAATTCGTCTTCCCAATGCAAAAATTAGTACAGAGTTAGACAAAAAAATAAACGAAAGACAGGATATACAAAATGATACAATTAATTACAAGAGTTAGTTACAGTAGTTTATTTATTAAAATCACCATTGTACATTATGGATAAAGTTATGAATAAAATATTTTCTTAATCTGTTTGTATTGCACTTAATTGGACGTAAACGACCAGATCTATTGAAGGTGTATTGCAAGAAAATAGGATGGGACTGTCTTTAATTATGTTATCGAATTCCTTCAGTACATTTTTTGTATACATGTTCTCAAAATTATCGACATCAGAGCCGATAATTTCATGATAATCATGATTTCATGATTCTGAGTATTTTATGCTTATTGACCTGAGTTAAATTTGCTGTACCATAAAATACTGTTGCTAACAAGTATTTAAATAACACTTAAAAAAAAATAATATTAAGACCTGAGTGCTGACATTGAAATACTTAAGTTTAAATAACCAGTATCCGCCTCCTTTTCCGGGAACATGGTGTGGATGCGGAATCGATGCTGACGGTTTGACAGGTGAATCGTCGTCAGGTGATTGACTGCGGTTTAATCTATAACCTATACCTATCCATCTAACTATTAACAGGTGATTGCACCTACCAGCTTTAAAACCTTATAAAATAAATGAAGAGATGCGCGCATTGCATAATCAAAGATCTCTTCAAGGAAACACATATCGTCGGTACGACACAGACTGAATGAATACTATTTCTGATTTGACTGAATCTGATTGGTAGAAATAAATGAAGATCGGTATAGATTTATGTTATTCGATCAGGACACTCAACCATTGATATAGGGTTTTATTAACGATAAGTGTATATCGGTTGTGTATTGACTTCGTAATGGATTGTAGACTAACTAATCGTATATTCAAATTATTCAACAGGTGAGTTATGTTAAAGCCAAATGGGTAAAGGGAGAGGGAGAAGAAAGAGACAAACTATTGCTAAACAATTTCAAATTTCTTTATTTTGATCATCCTGCTGTAGTCTTACTTCTACCTAAATCCAAAACGTACATACCAAATGCATATTGATCTGGTGCTCTGCTATGGGTTAGGGGTTTAGACCATTCTCTAATACAGATAACGGTAGGGGTTTGTGGTTACGGTATGTAATGATAAATGGAAAATAAATTATTATCATTTGAGTATAGATATAATATATAATATTCAAATCCAGTTACTGCGGCGGCAACTTGATTTGAATATCATTTACTATGGTTTCTCAGCTCCGACCTATAAGCTTTTCTAGCTTAACCATAACTCCACTATGTGTGAGCGTTTCAGTCGGTATGAGAGAAGGTGCCTGGCGGGTTAGAACTGCACGATATCCTATAGGTCTCCGTGGTCTAATGGATGATATGATACTCGCATTGACAGCGAATGCCTTCAGAGACACTTTTTTTCATAATAACAGAAATCAAGGAATTTTGTCGTTAGTGAGCTATGCTTGATACGATTATTACAGCATGTTCCTATATGAGTACTGTTAATAGTTTATCTAATATATATATATATATATATATATATATACAGTACCTGTGATACTTGATAAACGTAGGCCCAATGTAGATAATTATCAGTAGTGCCCACACAATTAGTGGTCAGTGTAATATTAACAAAAGAGTTCATAAACGCTCATAATTTTGTCTTCGAACAGACAAAAGAAAAAACGAAAATCGATCGACCGTTTCGAAAGACCACCGTCATATTCTAAAGTTGTGCCAAGTTTCGACCCGCCTCCATCGTATTTTGGAATCATCGGCACCACCGTACCAAAGACAGGTGAAGAGGCCAACTCAATTTGTATTTCGATTGAGAATAAGAAGAAATGCTCATCTGGTATTCAAAAGAAACAATTATGTTTACCGGAGCTTAGAACTATACCGAATGCTCTGGAGGACGACGATACGCACATGTTGCTCATGTTTTCTCGACGACGAACGACGGATATCCACGACTCGCACTGCACGCCGCCATTCCCACAGACGACGTTGCGCGGTCTCAACAGAATATCGGAAGGTAATTATCCAACACATTTGTTTTGTTGTATTCTATCCATCATACATAGTATATCTTAAGTTTTTAGTAATAAATACATATGGACATCTAAGTTTGACGTCCGTGTAACCTCATCATCATCATCACTACTATCATGATCATAATATCATCCCCACCATCTTTATTGTCATCACCATCATAATAATATTCATCATCTTCAACATTCTCGTCATCAGTTCACTACATTGTACTATATATAATATTTTCAATTGATTTTCTAGTGTATAACCTTTCTCCACAAACACCGCAGCCACCGGAGCTCCCAGAACAGGCAACCGATTGGAGGACCAGCCTCTTATGGATAGTTCAATATTCGCTGAAATCAACTCTACAAGCCACGATTGATCACTTCAAATCAGTGGTACGAGCATATTTCTTCAAGTAATATGAAAACGTTACTTATTCATCAACGAAGAATTACATCATTTATTTCTGAAATTTTGATAATGTTTATCTTTGTTATATTCCTTATCAGACAAAGAGAGCTGTATAAACTTGCTATTATTTGTTAATTGTCATCATTAGCGTTACAGGGCCGGGCGAATCCACAAATGTCCGAAAATGTGGGGGTGGGGGTGACAGGAAGACAACACTACCCTAGGGGTCAGACGGTATGCCCTTGGAAAAATCTTAGTTTTCTAGACGCCCATAAATAGCCTGTGAGGCGCTTTCGGCGAATTTCTTTTTCTTTTTTTCTTTTTTAAACTTTTCAAAAAACAAAAAAAAAACCCCACCCCTAAACTCTCCCCGTGTTAAGTGCTAATTGATATTTTATTTCTATTCAGCTCTCGAGGGCTATGTTACTACTATACACGACCAGATCATCATTCCAAATTTCGGAAGTCGAATGTCAAAAGCCTGTCATGTTAAGTGCTCATAGGTGGCGTGATTTCATTAGAGCGGTCGGCTTCAAAGTTGAAGGACCAGGAACAGACACCGATATGCAACGCACCTTTTTGGTAATCACTGAGAAAGTTACTCGAAGCGTCGTTCAGAGGCTCACAAAACTGTTACATAATATGTCAGGTAAGTTTTATTACAATATTTTTTGCTTCCAGGGTAACAGGCCTAGTGTTTGGAGGGATGGGTCGCCTAAATCATCGACATAATCATGAAAGGTTGAAACTTTATGTGGTTGATTATGAATGGATACTATTCAAAACGCCCATTATGTGGCACACAGTTTAATTTTGCAGTGTTTATAATATACTAAACCATTAAATCCCTTATTTAAAAGGATCAAATGAGTTGGTGGAGAGGAATTTATACTGTATCTTCCTAATTTTCAATTAAAAATGTGAATAAAAATTTCTTATATAACTTCCAAGTGTATAGCAATCATCACATCCATCATAATCATCCTTATTATCATCAATATTTTCGTCATTACGGTTCTGGTTGTCGTCGTCCTCGTTATCATCATAATGAACATTATTCTACTAATAATAATGATTATGGAGATAAAAGTCTAGCAATAGCATACACTATTTTTTTAAGGATTTTCATTTATTTTGTTATTAAATTAAATTATTTTTATTAAAAGGATTTCCATGCCCAGGAAAACATAAAAGCACCAAGTAAACAAAAGACGAGATAAAAAAAAACATTTCAAGAACTTCAATAAAACTCAATGTGATATTTCAAAAACCAAATTAATGTATAAAACCCAGAAATTTACAATCATCTTTTAAACAAAATTTTGTGTTAACAAATTAAAGATAGTCCCAGAAAACGACAAAAACTCATAAAAATAAAACATTCCAAACACACTTAATTGAAGATTATAATTTAATCTATACATTTCAACAGGTTTACCATATGAAGTCCTCCACGTGCTATCTCAGTTATCACCCGAAGAAGGCAAGGATACACACAAGTTTGTAAGTCACAAAAATATTATGATCAAATTTACATTTTTCACACCGATTTTTTTTTTTTTTTAAATAATTTTAAGTCAATTAAAGTAAATGTCATTACGAAGGAAAAATTTTATTGTAAAAGTTATTTGTGCATTCTGATTCATATTTCTATATACATATATAGGGCTATATATATATATATATATATATATATATATATATATATATATATACTGTAAACATTTTCA